AATGTTAGTGGCTCTTTAAAACCATGGAAATTTTGAAAATTGTAACTTTTGGCTCTTCCGCTTCAAAAGGTTGCCGACCCCTGTGTTAGAGTGCTAAAGTGTTACATTAGTAAAGCGTCCCTTTAGCTAGGGGATCCAAAATTTAAAAGTATTTTGTATAATCAGCAATACGATAAAATGTATGTCATCATAATTGAATAGAAGTATGTTATAAAAAGCTACTGTTTTTAGATGTTCAAACAAAAACTACAATTAAGTATTCAATAGATAACATATACTGTTGTCACAAGGTTACATAGATAATATAAAATATTTATTATAATTATTACGTAATGAAGTTTAAAGCGTTTTGCTGTGTTTTTGAAGCATGTCTTAGTTACACTTGGTTAATTTAGCTATTCTTGTGAAAGTTATTTCCCTTGAATAAAATTTTGTTATTTGTATTTTATTATTAACACGTTTTTCTTAACTCAGCTTCGCGTTTGTTTGTTTGGTTGTTTGGATGTTTGTTGTTAAAATTGACATCGAAAATTAGCCCACTTCTGATTGCTCTTGAGATCTGAAATTTGGCATACAGGCTACTTTCGCCTAACAATTTCAGATGCAATCATAAAAACTAGCAATTAGAGACCGTAATTAGCTTAATTTAATTACGCCCCAAGGACCATAAAATTGAGGACATGATTTCTAAAGATACCGACAAGACTGTAGGCTTATTGACACAGTTACTTCGGCCCCAATCGATGTGGGTGCGCTGGCCGTGATCGTATAGTGGTTAGTACTTCGCGTTGTGGCCGCGACAACCCAGGTTCGAATCCTGGTCTCTCAAGATTTTTTTAGTCCGTGTATTTATAAACACTTAGTAAAGTCATACTTAATCAAGTCATTAGATAAAGTAGAAAATAAACTATATAAAAAACTTTTTTAAAAACCACGTTTTTCATGTGTAGCAACGGACTAAAAAGGAGAAAATAAAATACTTAAAAAAAACTTTTTAAAAAACCACGTTTTTCTTGTGGACTAAAAAGTAGAAAATAAATTTTTCTTTTGTGCTTCCTCGAGCTGTGCAAGTTCTTGTGATGACTGACAAAAAACGTGGGTAGGACAGATGGGTCGGGAAATTTGATGGTGAACGTACCCACGTTTTTTGTCAGTCATCACAAGAACCTGCACAGCTCGAGGAAGCACAAAAGAAAAATTTATTTTCTACTTTTTAGTCCACAAGAAAAACGTGGTTTTTTAAAAAGTTTTTTTTAAGTATTTTTTAACACGTTTTTTAACACGTTTTTCTTAACTCAGCTTCGCGTTTGTTTGTTTGTTTGTTGTTAAAATTGACATCGAAAATTAGCCCACTTCTGATTGCTCTAGAGACCTGAAATTTGGCATGCATGCTACTTTCGCCTAACAATTTTAGATGCAATATAAAAACTAGCAATTAGTGACCGTAATTAGCTTAATTTAATTACGCCCCAAGGACCATAAAATTGAGGACATGATTTCTAAAGATACCGACAAGACTTGAGGCCTATTGACACAGTTACTTCGGAACCAATCGATGTGAGCGCGCTGGCCGTGATCGTATAGTGGTTAGTACTTCGCGTTGTGGCCGCGACAACCCAGGTTCGAATCCTGGTCGCTCAAGATTTTTTTAGTCCGTGTATTTATAAACACTTTTTTAAAAACCACGTTTTTCAACGGACTAAAAAGGAGAAAATAAAATACTTAAAAAAAACTTTTAAAAAAACCACGTTTTTTATGTGTAGCAACGGACTAAAAAGGAGAACGGACACGGTAACACATTGTTAACGGTGACACGGTTGGTACGCTGGGCATGCTAAAATACACATAAACACGTTTTTCCTTAACTCAGCTTCGCGTTTATTTGTTTGTTTATGGGAGATTTGATCACGTGATTCGTGAGTAGATCTCCACGCCAGCAACGTAAATTACACCCTTTCTCTGTTTAAAGCGTATCGGTCGCTCAAGATTTTTTTAGTCCGTGTATTTAAAAACACTTAGTCAAGTCATACTTAATCAAGTGATTAGATAAAGTAGAAAATAAACTATATAAAAAACTTTTTAAAAACCACGTGTTTCATGTGTAGCAACGGACTAAAAAGGAGAAAATAAAATACTTAAAAAAAACTTTTTAAAAAAACACGTTTTTCTTGTGGACTAAAAAGTAGAAAATAACTATTTACATACATTTGATGACAAAAAACGTGGGTCGGGCAGATGGGTCGGGAAATTTGATGGTGAACGTACCCACGTTTTTTGTCATCAAATGTATGTAAATAGTTATTTTCTACTTTTTAGTCCACAAGAAAAACGTGTTTTTTTAAAAAGTTTTTTTTAAGTATTTTATCTTAACTCAGCTTCGCGTTTGTTTGTTTGTTTGTTGTTAAAATTGACATCGAAAATTAGCCCACTTCTGATTGCTCTATAGATCTGAAATTTGGCGTGCAGGTTACTTTCGCCTAACAATTTCAGATGCAATCATAAAAACTAGCAATTAGAGACCGTAATTAGCTTAATTTAATTACGCCCTAAGGACCATAAAATTGAGGACATGATTTCTAAAGATACCGACAAGACTGAAGACCTATTGACACAGTTACTTCGGCCCCAATCGATGTGAGCGCGCTGGCCGTGATCGTATAGTGGTTAGTACTTCGCGTTGTGGCCGCGACAACCCAGGTTCGAATCTTGGTCGCTCAAAATTTTTAGTCCGTGTATTTATAAACACTTAGTCAAGTCATACTTAATCAAGTCATTGGATAAAGTAGAAAATAAACTATATAAAAAACTTTTTTTAAAAACCACGTTTTTCATGTGTAGCAACGGACTAAAAAGGAGAAAATAAAATACTTAAAAAAAACTTTTTTTAAAAACCACGTTTTTCTTGTGGACTAAAAAGTAGAAAATAACTATTTACATACATTTGATGACAAAAAACGTGGGTCGGGCAGATGGGTCGGGAAATTTGATGGTGAACGTACCCACGTTTTTTGTCATCAAATGTATGTAAATAGTTATTTTCTACTTTTTAGTCCACAAGAAAAACGTGGTTTTTTAAAAAGTTTTTTTTAAGTATTTTATTCAAATGGGAGATAATTCGTTTCTTACCTTTACATTCATTACAAATTCAAGCACCTCAAGCAACTTAAGCGGTTGACCGCTTACACATAAATATAACTTTAAGTTATTATTTGCTATTGTAAAAATCATATAGGGCTTAAGTTCTAAACAAAATAGTTTGGTAGGTGTTTTAGCATTATTAAGTTGAAAAACAAATACATTAGTAGCCGATGTAGATTGCAATACTTAACGTTAGTAGAAATAGTCTTAGTCGTAAATTAAAAATCTAATTCATTGTCTTTTCATATTTTTCACCCTCTCCTAAAGGATTCATATATAACAATTTTATGATGGAATCTATAATATTTATAACCCTCTTTTTTTCAAAAACAAAAAGTATCGTTACATAATCACACAATATAGACATTTTACAATTATAACTAAACACAGTCATGCTTAAAACAGGTAACTTCCGTTTCGGAACTCACCTTGGGAGGGCTGCAGAGAGCCCAACACTACAAGTATATTTTTTTTCAGGGGGTTTTTTTTTCCATACTTTTTTTTTTTTCTACGGGGGGGGGGGGGGGGGGGGGGGGAAGCACTTAAAATTTTCTAGGGGGGGGGGGGGGCTATGTCGTAAAGTAGACTCGTGGACTTAGCAACAATTTCAATAAAATGAGATTACGCTTGCAAACTGGAATTGAAGGAATTAAATCAAACTTTTGAGACGAAAAAGGCAAGTAAAATTTGATTTTGATGTCTTCTTATAACGTGTATGCAATTGATAATAAATTATTACGTCACTTTTAATTAATTGTTTTCTTACACAAATGTTTTAGTAATTAATTTGTGATAAAGGAGGGGTTTTAATAAGTTTTGCATAGGGCGCTAAATAACCTGGCGCCGGCACTGAGTACTCAAGTTATCGTGTTCAAGCGGGAATAAAGCTAAGTACCATTTCCCTTTAACGGAAATCGTTCAAAAGTCGACAAAATACTTTTCAATACAATCTATTACTTATATTTGAAATTTCATCCACCAAACTCAAAAGTAAAAGGTACTCACGTTATAGGCTTTTGAGAAACCGGAAGTGGAGTAACAACTTCCTGTTACAGGAAATCACGCAAAAGTTGAAAGAAAACTACAAATTTGATACCATAGGCTACTTAAATGAAATATCGTCAACCTAATTGAAACGGTACTCTCTCTCTTTCTCTCTCTCTCTTTCTCTCTCTCTCTCTCTCTCTCTCTCTCACACGTACACACACAAGATTGAAAATCTAAGTTTTTCTGGCACTGGAAGATTACAAGCAGAGTTTCTTCCAGGCATCTCTTCGGCCCCCCCCCCCTCCCGAACGAAATGAAATTTATATAATTTATATAGAAAATATATACTTTTAGCAGTGTCCCCCCCCCCCCCCCCCCCCCCCCCCGAAAATTTCAAGTGCCCCCCGGAGAAAAAAGTCTGGAAGAAACACTGATTTCAAGACGTTAATATTTGTCATAACCTCGATTTAGAGTTTTCCACGACTACAAAGCATCCTTTATATTCCGCGTATATTCCGACAACTGACAAAATCTCATTTTAAAATTGTGCGCGATTACAATACTTTTACTAGATTTAACTAGATCTAGATCTAGATCATACCCAGCAGCACTGTAGACGGAGAAAAGTAAAAAGCTTATATTGTAGTATAGTTTTTGATTGTCAAGCTATTGTTGTTATTGACTGAATAGTAAAAAGAAATTATAAAAAACGTTATAAAATTATACACCTTTATAAAAATGTATGCACTAAAAAGGAGAAAATAAATTATTTTCTTTAAATAAATAATAATACACTACTAACACTAATAACATAAGAAAAGTGGGAAAAATAACTCGCCATCATTTTTATAAAAACACCGCATTTACTGTTTCCGCTGCTAAGAACGCTTACTCTACCGATGTAAAAACTGTGAATACTGAATAGTCATCGCAATATCATTCATATGTTACTTACATCACAGTGATTCATAGATTTTGAAAAAGACAGGAACCTTTAGAATATTCGAGACTTTGATGATCCCTAGATCTATATATAAGCCGAACAGAATAAAATATGTAATATTAACATAGGCATAGATTAGATACTATTTATCATACTAGATAGATACTATTAGATAGGTTATTTAATATTTATTATTAATTGACTAGGCCTATATATTTTATTATTTAGGCCTAAACTATATTAAATTAAGTTAATTAACTTAACTTATAAACTTATAGACTTATGCCTAAAAATTTTAAAAAGTAATTAATTGTTAATTATAATTAAGTATACTAAAAGTTAAAAGTATAGGCTTGTGCTAGATCTAGTCTAAGTCACTATATATTAGAAGCCTGTTTAAAAGTAATTTAATTGTTCGTCAGTTACTCTTTTAGGTAGGCTTCTTAGAATGGATTTTTAATTAGTTGATGAATAATGAGTCAGACAACCAGAATCACATTTAAATTTAAAGGTCAAGTAAAACATTCTATAATCTATAACCATTTCTGTAACCCTTTTGCAGCTCATTTATCTCTGCTAACAAAATGGACTCCAAGCAATCCTCATCAAATGTCAAGGTTTACATTTATGATATCTCCATGGGAATGGCCAGAGCAATGTCACAAGGAATTCTAGGTAAGTAAAATGTATTCTAGTAATTGTGAAAGGCTTATATTAAAAGTTAAAACAAGGTCTAATCACCATTGAAATAGATGATTTGTAGTTAACCTGTGAATCAAAATTATTTTTCAACATGTATGCTTATTCTATATCAACATCTGATATTGAGGACTCATTAATGGGTTTTTAAAAAATACATCTTAGTGTTACTTAATCCTAGTTCTACCAGTCCTGCTAAGCCTGTCTTTTTGTCTTTTCATGTTTATAATATACTTCAAAGATGTCATTTTCATTTTATGAAAATTTTATTTAACTTTTATTTAATGTTTTCTAATCATTTATTTTCAGGCCGACAGATAGATGGGATCTGGCATACAGGTATTGTTGTTTATGGACAGGAATATTTCTTTGGAGGAACATCTGGGATAGAGGCTTGTCCCCCAGTGAGTTGTCTTCTTTAAATAACAGTTCAGTGTAGTATTTAGTTTGTTGACCCTAAACGATGGCCTGGGATCCACCAGAGTGATGGGTGAAAGGAATAGTAAACAAATAGCAGCTGAGCGTTGTACTCATCATCATCTTTTCCCTTTTGTCCCTAGGACATGGGTTTTGTACTCACTAAACTCTTTCTATTATTGCTACATGTAAACTTTTTGTTTTGTTCACTGAAGTATTTTTTTTTTATTTCATTTCCTTATTTTAAAATAATTTTTTATTTTTCCATATTCAGTTTTTTTTTTTGTTATGATGAATCAAAATAATTTTTGACATGTTGACAGGGTGGAACAGTCCTTGGTAAACCATTACAAGTTGTTGAGCTGGGCAACACTGAAATTCCTTTCGACGTCTTCATGGATTATCTACAGGAGCTGTCAAAATCAACCTACAAGTAATCTCTTAAATACAAATATATTTTTTTCATGTAACTGTTAAATTTTTTAAACCAAAATTTTGAATGACACAATTTTCAAAATGTTAGTAGCTTTTGACAAGGCAGGCCTGTTGTTTCACAATAAATGTGTTTTTGCTACAAAATTCCAATAGGCCTGTAGGTTTTCTAAAGGAAATTATTTAATAATAGGGGTTTAAAATTCGTCTATTTTAATATTAGTTTATTCTCCGCAAGTATTAAGAGTCATTTTGTTTTCCTCAGGCCAGAGACCTACCACTTGTTCCACCACAACTGCAACAACTTTTCCTCTGACCTAGCCCAGTTTTTAACAGGGAAAGATATACCATCACACATAACCAGCTTGCCACAGGACGTTCTCAGCACGTAAGTTTGTCAGCTGGTCTTTATTTTTTTTTTCTACATGCAAGATTTTGAATAAATAGTTTTCGTTATTTATATTCAAATAATTTTCTGTTTTTGTAGTATCGTTTTAAGTTCAATTTAAATGTTCTATACATGCAGTTTTGAAGAACTAGAGTTTTACATTAGGTGGGAGGCCACATTAGCTCCCCTGATTTTCTAAGCTATTATTAAAAAGTACCTAATAGAAGCACTAATAGAATTTTTTTTTTTAAATCTAAGCCCTAAATATAATTTTTTTAAACTGATTTCAGGCCATTTGGTGCAATGATACAACCATTCGTAGAAGCAATGCATGTACAGGGTGGACACTCACCATTTAATTCTTAACCCAGATGGCATCTAGACTAATTTAGATGTGATGGACTGGGGATTAGAACTATTTTAAACTCAGGAGTGAATGACAATGGTGTTCAGATCAATGTGCATAATGTGTCCCTTGTTTGCCCTCTGAATTGAATGTTTTCAAAAATATGTGATTATTTATTTATGCTGATGTTATTTTAAGTCTTAAATGACTTAATTTGGGGCAGAACCATAATTAAGTATGAGGTTCTCGGTCTAGTAGAGACACTATTTTAAATTTCTTCATGATATTCATCAACATTTTTACTTTAGTTAGCAGGGCAATCACTACAAAATTCAAGTCCTTATAAAAATATATTTAAGTGTGCCTGCAAATTAACCTTTTCATTTTATCAATACATGGAGATGAGTTTCTTTAAATTCATCTGGATTATCAAAACAAAAAGCTAATTGAAAATTAAAATATTATTTTAACTAACTCATAAAGTATAATTCAATGTTATTTTTATTTAAAAATGTATTATTTGCACTACCTAATACAGATGTTATTTTTTACACATTTTTTTTCTTTTCCTTACCTGCAATAATTGAGTTATAGGGACATTGATTTCAGCTTGTCAATTATTGTTCACAGGAAGAGATTTAAGTGCTGACATAGACACATTAAATATTGCATAATGTCAAATTTACTTTTTTAAGCACACATGTAATATTGTGGCAGATTTTAACAATACACTTTTAATAAAGATTGATGTATTTGTGAGCTTAATTATTTCTGAAAAAAAACCTCATTTTCCATTAAACAGCCTAGCTACTTACTTTACTGACTGGTGTATACTATTCATTTTGTCTTCATACTATTTATTTACTGCGTGGGGCAGACTATTGCACAGCCCCTTAAAAATGGTTACATCTTTAGAATGCTACTCTCAACAATATTTACATGTCTTTTATGCAGACTACCTGAGTTTGTTTGCATGATTGACAATATAGACTGTTAAAATAATTATTACCATGGCTGAAGCATGGCAGAGAAAGAATGAATTATTTTGTACGTTAAAAGTACTTATTCTTCCTGACAGGGCATATGAAAAATAAATCAAAGGGTTTGTATGGTCAGTATATTAACCTGACAACTTCTCTTGCCCTTGAGTAAACTCAGAAACATCTTATACTTATAGATAAGAAGTTAAATTTCTTTAGTGTTAGCAATGGATTGCTCTAACCACTTGGCCATGCATTTATTTGTTCATAAACAATAATGTAAGCAATGTACCTGATACCACTATATTATTTAGTTACGGGTTCCCTTTTCGAGCCTAACTGTCCATGACTGTTTCTGTGACCTTGGCATATGAAGAGATAGTGTGGTCAGCAATATGCCCAGCAGCCTTTACTTTCCTTAACATGAGTTAGGTACCCATCAGAACTTGGTGGACTCAGGGACATTCTACTGACATGAACTTGATTTGAATTAAAAACGTATTTGTTAGCAGTCTAGTGCTCTACCGTTAGACCATGCCATCCCAACTATGATTTAGTGCTTGTCAATTTATTAGCCTTCCCTACATATTCCTAAAGCAATGATGGTATATCAGTCCCAAACCCTGCTTTCAATCATTAGTTACTATTACCACATATGGGTTTGTTTAGCTGCATAGTACTTTTTCTGTATCTGGCTTGAGAGTTTAAATTGATAATAAAATAACAAACACTTAAAATAATTTAGAATTTTATTAATTCTGCACATTTGAGTAATATTAAAAATAGCTTTATTCTTAAACAAATGCTACAAAATTAACTATGACAAACATACAATGTTTTGATAAAAAAAAAATTAACATGATAAGAAATAAATGAGTATGGTTGGTGACTGTGAGAACAAATAAATGTGGCTTAATTTATATATCCTGGCTGTTTACATTATTGTTGGGGAAGAAAATACAACTCTACTAATGGAAGTCCTGATACATTTTTAAGTGAGCTATTTTCTATTGTTTAGCTGTATCAAAATACAGCTATCAAAACTACAACTTAACACTGAAAATTTTAATGAAAAAGAATTGTCAAAATTTACTTTTCATTCACAGTAGTTAGTGGCCATCCATGTGTGATACGCAATTCCTTTCTCCTCAGCCATTTCCCCCCTACTCAATTACACTTTAGACGCTCCATAATTTCACTTAAGTTATAATCACAAAGAGCAGGTTTAGCACCATTATTTCAGCAAAAATCCCCACACCAGTTTTATCCACAAGAAAAATTTATTTTACTTGCTAAAAAATAATTACAACATTTGTTAAAACTGTTTAATATTTAGCAATTGTTGAAAATATCTAGCAAGAATTATTTTTAGCAATACAAAGCAAGTGCTAAATAGCATTCCATGTAACCCACTCCCCACCCCCCTTTCCCCTACAGATCAGGAAGTCATAATCTCCCCTGCTCCCTCCCTAAACGGGTGTCATCATTTATGGACAGCCACTTACCTAAAAAATATTTTAAACACTTTCCCGGAAGCTTTTATTTAAATTTTATGTTATGATTTTCTACACTGTATCAATATTATTGCTTTACATACAGTAATAATATCTAGCACACTAGTGAAACTGTCTTCACTGATTCTTACAAATAATTAAATGATACATATAATTCTCACAATGTGTGCTGTGCTTATAGTTACGTTTACTTAGATTTTTCTCAGTATAAATCAATTAACATGTGATTTAAAATTCCAACATCAATGAAGGCTATTTTGTATTTACAGACATTATTTAGGTAACTAAAATAACAATATGCATTACACAACTGGTGAAGCTAGTTAAATTATTTTTAAGATAACAGAAAGATGCCATTTTAATTTACAAACCATTGTTCATGAAAAAATACAAGCATGTATCAATAATAAACATATCCAAAAATACTGAAAATTACTTCAATGTAAATATACACAAGTCAATTATAGCATGGACATTCCATTTAAAGCCTAGGGGTGAACACGAATGAATAAATATTTTTAATCATGGCTGATTCTAACATTTAACAACAAAAAAAGAATCGCTATATACACATCTGTTGTTCTGTATCCCTGTAGTTATGATATCACAAAACACAAGCTAACACTGTAACACAAACAGCCATCACTACCAACAGTCAAAACATTGTCATGGACAGAATCTAAAATTTGTTTTTTAATTAATTTCTTTTGGTCACAAAAAATTAAACCCACCATGAAACTCGTTTAGCAGAAATAAAGTTGTGAGAGTAGAAAACAAGCAACAAGTACACAAGCGATGGGAGTTGAAATTTTCCTGGCTAATAACATTAACATCCATAGGGTTGCGTATGGCAGGTGTGACTGTAACAGATTTAAATACAGTTTGTAAACATTGTGCTGGCAGCCAGTAATATAAATAATTGGATCACACACAAATATTACTAAACTGGTTCAATGAAGTACTTATTAATTCCATTTTTTTTTTTTGATATTTTTCTTTTTAGAAATCAATAGATGCTGCTTTTTCTCTCCTACTGTTAATGTAAGTGTAAGATAGTGAGTCACACCTGACCAACTGTTGTGTCCATGATAAAAAAAAAACTACTGTCAATGACTGTTTTAAGTGGATCTCAGACATACATATAAGAACTAGAATCACATGACATCAAATTCCTTTTGTTGAATGACCATTTAGAGTGGGAGCTTGATCATACACGTAAGAGAACAAGTATGGGCAGCTTTATTTACCACATACTGCAGACTTACGGCTTTCTGATGAAGGGCTATTATGTAGCAACTACATCTACTGCTTTCTGATGAAGGACTATCATCTAGCAACTACATCTATATAGTGGATCCTTGCTGCAACAAAGAATCTCAAGTCTGCAACTACCTAATCCCCCCCCCCCCCCCCATTGATTATCCAGGACTATTATTTGTAATTACAAATATTAATGGGACTTTAAAAAAATCAATTTTATTAAAATCATTTGTATAACTTTTCTTGATAAATTATATGAAATGTATTTCTTTTTCATGACATTTTGTAGTAATGAAAAGTAAATATGCTTCATAATTTCTATAAGTTTTTAGTTTCAAGTTACAACAGAAAACATTTCAATAAGGACTAGTCATAAAAATTAATATATGTTTAAAGCTACAAACAACAGGGATAAAAAAAAACGTATGAGAAAAAAAAACAGTAATGAAAACAAAACAGCTGACTTTTGGATAAATATCTTTTTGAATAACAAACATTCTTAACCACATGAATGGCTAGACATACATGACAACAGTCAACCAGTTGTACCATTCTATAGTCTTTCAAATATATGGCGGAAAAAGTGTACATAGAATAATATCAAAAACACAGAGGGTCATCATCCATTGTTGTTGATTATGTATAGGCACAGAGGTTAACTACACTAATATTGTTGCTTATTGTTGTTTTTTGTGACCATTCCAAACCACCCAGGCTATTAGCTAGTTTTAAATCAATAGCAGTTAATTAAGATCTTAAGAAATCATTGACTAATAGAGGAAGCTAAATAAACATTGTCAAACTGATTTTTTATTAGTAATTAATTTTTTCTAAATAGGCCATAAAATTTTCATTTTCAGGAAAAAGATAATTTTGTAACAATTTTTCAAAAAGTTTATAATCTCATTTTAGAATATTAAGCACCAAAATATGTCACTATAAAGTGGATTAAAAAGGATATTTTTTTAAAATGTCAATTTAAGTAAGATTACAACAATGTGTGTCTGTAATAATAAAAAAAACTGAACATGTTACTATAAGAAATAAACAATATTTTTTACAATATCTAAACCTTGTCTTTTGTTGTTTTTTTTTTCCTGAGACAATCATCTTGCAACAAACAACATGATGCATTGGATAAAAAGTCTAAACACAGAGAATGTAGGACATCTTGTTACATATCATTTTTTAACAAATGTTAGTAGCCTTACAAGTTAATTTAAACAAATATACTGCCAAAACCACGGAGGGTAAATTAATACTTCTGTTTAATTAAAATTTTGTATTGTTTTTTTTTCTCCTCAAATAAATAAAATAACACAGTATTATATTCTGAGAAAGGTTGTGCACTCCATAAAGAAGGCTCATACTTCTGCAACAGGATGCAGAAGCATCAAAAGATATGCCGATGTATTATATATATATATATATATTTGATTCTCTTTAAACTATATTCATATATACAAAAAAAAACAGCTATTTTTACAAACCTCTACACAACTTACAAGATATTACGGTGCAACTCTACATCAGTTAAGTGAATACTTTGATTAAATTTAATTATTAGCATAATATACAGATATTGAAGCTGCACAATAACATTTTCAATATTTATTTCATTCATGAAGTCAATTTCAACTTTTAAATGATTGACATAAAAACCTCAGTGAACAACTGACTGAGCCAGAGCCTAACACCAGTGGAGAACTGACTGAGCCAGAGCCTAACACCAGTGAACAACTGACTGAGCCAGAGCCTAACACCAGTGAACAACTGACTGAGCCAGAGCCTAACACCAGTGAACAACTGACTGAGCCAGAGCCTAACACCAGTGAACAACTGACTGAGCCAGAGCATAACACCTGTGAGCAGGTACAGCTGACAAGAATTTATTACACAGATTTTTAACATAACTCATCTGGTCGGCTATTTCACTTTCAGATCATATCATAACATTGGTCAGAAAAATATGCAAGGCTCCTGCTTAAATAACACATGGCTTCCCCAGAACCAGGCTTTTTTAACTCCAATTTTTTCTTTATTTTTCTAGAATTATATAGTTTTGCTTAAAATCTCTTCAAACTCTTACCATCATTAAACTTCATCAATCCAATTTCATGAAGCTCTTAATACGGAAATGTTTAGTAGAACAATTCTTTAAAGCTTTGTTGTGAAAATTTAATAAAAGTGAAATTAGAACAGTCTGATTCTGGGGAAACGACATATAGAATAGTTCCACACAACTGTTTTCTTTTTACTAGTACTCAATTCAGATTTTTTATCTATGGCAAATGTAGATTTTTGACAACAAAATAAAAAGCCTTTAGGAAGGTGACTAGGAAGCAAGTAGATTTCTACTTCACTAAGATAAATGATTTAAAAAATGTATAAGCAGAACCACAGAGTCTGACTAAAAATATCCTCACTCCACAGTTCAGGTAGTTAGCAGCAGCATTGTATAAACATCAACATTACACTGGAGAGTTAAATAACTTAAAGCAGGTGAAAATTACAACAAAAAGCTTTTAGCATTCCATAACTTACAAGATATAACATAATATACTTGTTCAATTATATTGGGCTTTTTCACTATGAATTTCCCATTTGAATTATTACAACTTAACTTTAAGAAACAGTAGAATAAATTTTTGTATTTCTTAATATTATAAAAGTATTTAATTTAGCATTTTAAAAGTGAGTTTTTTAAGTAGAAAACAAGATTTAAAATAAACTAAAATCCGTAAAAAAAATTTTAAAAGATTATACTACCGACAAGAGATTGTTAAATTTTTTAATTGATTATCTAATTTAATTTCCTATTAAGAGATCATAAATAACTTTATGACCTATTATAAATATTATGTTAAAAAAATAGAATTGAAACATTTGAACTATATGGCTATGATGAATACATACATGTACCGACTAAGTAATTTATCCTTAGAGGAAATGAAAAAAAAGAGGACTAAGATCAGCAACAAAATTTTAAAGAAAGCTAAGATCATAAGCAGAAATAAATATACAAAAAGGTTACAGTTAAAGTAGTGACTTGGCAAATACAACAACAAAAATTGAAGCTCACAATCTTGAAGTAATGAAGATCTTAACTAGTTTTGTTCAACAATAACAATGAAAATAAATGTGACATGTTGAATACATGCTTGCATTTGAAATGGTGTACAATCAACTTGAAAATAAAAAGATTTCTGCACAAAGGCAAATATTTACACATGGGATGATTTAAAAGAAAGAAAGAAAGAAAAAGAAATGTACAAAACAATAAACGACATTAAACAAAGCCAATTACTATTTGTAACTGACTGTTAAAAACTTAAAACCACTTTACAAGATTAAAAGCCTATCAAAATCCAGTATCTCATATTAGCCAATGGAAGACAAAACACTGTATAGAATGTTTAAATAGTGCTCCACAAAACTGGATATCTTAACATTTCTTAAGGCAAATATAGCTTGACTCAAATTTCATTAAGCACAACTAGGACTTGGTGTCATTAATAGTAATCTGCCATTCAAGGCACATCAAGTTATGACAGACTTACAAAAATGAGTATATTTACATATAAACAAAAAACATTCATACCTCACTAGATACATCAGCCGCAAACCTGCAGTAAGTAGTTTAAAAAACTAGAGTTTAAGACTTTCAAAGATTAAAACATCTTAAATAATGTGTAGATATTTATAAAAAAAAACAATCTCATTTAACCTTTATAACTGCATTACATTTTATCAGTTTATTTTCTCACTTTGAAATCTGTGAAATGAAGTATAACACTTATGACATATGATAACTTGTTTTAATTTACAAACTAGAGCAGGCAGTTATTTATCCATTAAGTTTTAACCAATAACCATCCATGTCTAACTACTGGGATAAAACTTGAGTCAAATTAAAAACAAAACTGTTAATAGATGTGCCCATTTATGTAATAATTCACAGATGGAAATTAAGGAAAATAAAAGTCAATGATAAGGCTGCCTAAAATATTATCAATGAAATGTTAATTTTTTTTCAATGTTGAGTTGTATTTTTTCAAACTTAAAAAATATATATCAAAGAGTTACAGGTTGGTTTCTAAAAGGGTAAATGTAAATTTAATGTAAATTTCAATCACAAGGACAACTACTTTAATAGGAATTCATTTCAAACATTACAGACGTGAGTTGTGCAATGTCTTTTATCCAGTTCAAGGTCCACATGTCTACTTCCCAAAACAAACAACACCACATGAAAAATAAAGAGAGATATATTTAGCTGGGGTCATACCTGTGTGATCTCACAGTCCTCCCACTCATTTTCAGACTCTGTGTCGGACAAGTCATCCTGAATCTCACTGTCACTGCACCCCAGGGACATGGCCTCTGTGCTGCCTGTTATAGAAGCTGTTTCTGGATCCTGATCCACTGTAAATATTGGCCTGGCGCCACCATCTGCTGGGTGCAGCATCATATATTTGTCTTGCAGCGAATGGTCACTGGTGCTGTGTTTGTTTTTGATGTGCGAAGGAAGCGGAGGAGTCTGGGGCGATGTGATGGGGGACGCGGAGGACGTCCATCTACTGGATGAGTTGAATGGATGCAGCAGGTTGGGCTGTGTGGCGGTGTGGGTTGGTCCAGTCTTACAATACTTGTCTGTGTTCAACATGTCATCTGCACTTTTACTTCTCTCTAAGTTGCTGTTCTCTTGCATGGCTTCAAAGAGTACTTTCACCTAAAAATTAACAGTATGCATTCACATTGAAACATTCGTTTCTACTAAACACAAACTATCTCTAAGCTGACATCAAAACGCCTTACTTATCTTTTAACAATAAATGTTCAACCATTGATATTACAAAATTATAAACTTTGAAACTAAGAAACTCATTGAGTGATTTAAGATTTTTTTTTTTAAATTAAATTCTAACAAAAAGAATATTAATATTAAAAAAAAAAGCTATTTATTCAGTCATAATAAAAAAAAGTATTTCTTACCTTAAAATTAGGACTAAACAATTTATGTGATTTATCTTTGTTAGCCCGATCAAGTTCAGACTTTGGCAAGGTGAGAGATAAATATTCAGCAGGCTCTTCACCTGAACCATTGCTGACACTACCATTCTGCTGCACTCTCTCACGATCAGTCACAAAAAATGTGTTGAACCAGAAGTGGAACATTTTTTCCTACAACAAAAACTTTGGCTTAGATCAGACCACAATAAAGAATATAATTATATGTATACTACCTACAAACAGTCTGATTACAGCGGTAAGGCATGCTGGCAAACATATGGGTTTTTGACTGAACCATAAATATGTAAACCATATGCGTTGAACAACCAACATATTTTCTTGACCAACTAACTAAAGATCCTATAAAGTATACAGGGGTAAGAAATGTCAGCCAGTTGAGCTGGAATAAAACTTAACTGTGAATATATTACATATGTTTGAGGCCACCTGTGATGAAGCAATGTTAGATAAGGGTCAAAAAGGTAGAAAAGGAGAAAAGGTAGAAGCTAAGAATTAGCTTAGGTCAGCTAGACATTGGTCAAACAGACCATTACAGTGATATATAACTATGTATATGTGTGTGTGTGTATGTATATATATATACATATATATATATATATATATACATATATATATATATATATATACATATATATATATATATACATATATATATACATACATATATATATACATATATATATATATACATACATATATATATACATATATATATATATATATATATATATATATATATATATATATATATATATATATATATATATATATATATATATATATATATATATATATATATATATATATATATATATATATATATATATATATATATATATATATACACACACATAACATCTCTACCCTTCCCTCACCACACTATCCAAAAGGGAGAAAAAATGTATCTAAAAGATGAGCCAAACCAGAGTTAGACTAAATTAAAAAACCATGAGAAATTTAAAGAAGTCTAAAAAAAAATATTGAAAACCACTTACTCGTTTGTTAATTTTTGACTTATTAAAAAATTCTATTTTGATGTCACCGCATATGGGGACAGAATGACTTGAGTGCATCACAGGCATGAGGAAACTTTTTTGCTCCCTTTTAACACCATCAAATACTGGGGATGTGTAGACCTTCACCTTGAGCTGGGACACCTCATAGAATGGCACTGGTCATGGGAAAAAAAAATCAGTTAACCTCAAGAATCAGAAAATCCTATACAATCAATCACCAGTTGAAAAAGTGCTTATAAAAGTAAAGTAAGTTTCCCTTTCAAACCTGACGGGCTAAGGGGCAAGTGAAGTAGAGTTCACTTGTTTCTGTGACCTCGGCATATGAAGAGATAGTGTGGTAAGCACTATGCCTAGCCGCCTTTACTTTCCCTAACATGAGTTAGGTACCCATCAGAGTTGGGTGGACTCAGGGATGGTCTACGGACTTGAACCTGGATTCAAGCTCGAGACTTACGGGTTAGCAGTCCAGCTCTCTACCGCTAGAAAAAGTGCTTATACTTATATTGATATCATCTGTTGAATAAACTGATACTCACTGCATGAGCCACTGTTGAACATAGGGATGGTCTCAAATTTTACCCCCTTCAGTAATAAGCTGACCTGTCTGTAGGACACACCTGGCTTAAGTAGTTCAGCATAGTACAATACATAACGTCGCTGACTAGGAATGGTCACGCCCTTGAGAAAAAATAAATATTATTAAACTATGTTATAAGCTTATCACACCTGCGAAGAATAACACCTTGTAACTGAGCAATGCTCTAGCAGACATTTACCTTCTCATCCCTTGTTCTTGTAGCACCGTAATGTCTTAATGCAGCATCAGGATCTCTAAACCGCTGTCTATGCAACATATAGGCACAAATCATGACACCTGTTCTACCCTGATGAAGAAAAAGTATGAATTTATTTGATAAGGGACTCCAAAAGAATAGTTAGAGAACCATTAAAAAATGTAAACTTGCAAAAATATGCCTACTTATCTCTTAGTTGTCAACCAAAAGTGATAGCTTTATTTTAAATGGGTTATTAATATTACAAGATATTTTTTTACCACCTTGTTTTGATGGATATTGAGAAAAGAAAAAATTATGAGGGACTTAAACTTGTGATAAGCTCTTCAATTACACAGTACACAGATCTAAGACAAATGTATTTTCAAATCTATCATCCATTTATCAATCTTTAGAAACTGTAATAATAATAAAAATGTGACAATGCTCAGTAAGAATTTTTTTTCTCCAGCTGTTTAATATAATGAGTTCATGAATCACTGTGATCAAGGAAAGAAAAACTTGACAATTGGATCAAATAAGGAAGAGGGAGGGCCACTTCAAGTGGTATCAAGTATACTGAACAAAAGTCATCGGAAAAGTAGGTAACAGAATCTAGGCCATGAGCAATGAGGATGTAGAATTGGATGCATCTGCTTATGCCATCTAGTGACATTTAGCACTAAAGTCTTGTAGTACAACCTCCAAGTGATAGACCACAAACTACATGTTTATATCCTGGTCAAGCAGGGACAAAAATTCTAATCTGGAATAAGTCTGAAGCTAATCCTTATATAATACAAAATGGGACGTTTACGTCTTTTTTACCACATATAACATATCACAATATAATATACCAGATCCAGGAATAAATTTACACTCCCCTCCCCAATACACACATATGCCAATGTGTATTTTTAAATAAAAAGGGATTGCATCATTTTAGAGAAAAATGGATTGTTGCATCAAAGCAAACATTTGTAAAGACCTTTACTGTGTTGAAAAGAAAGGAAGATTATATAAACCAGTTGTGTTAACGTATGCATCCAACCTATCTAACCAGCTACATTTTTGCAACAAAAAGAAACAAGAAAATAAGGTCCAAAAACACTGACCCTCTACCACATCTAACCTATATAAAACAAATCTTTATTTTTAAATAATAAGCTAAACAAGCAGGGATTTTTTTTCCAGAGATTTGGCTCAGGGGTGGGGCAAGTATATTTTTTTCAACTTAAATGTAATATTTTTTCTATTTAGTCCAACCCCCAGAGTAATGCCAGAAAGAAACACAGTACCCATTTGTATGATCCATTAAGGGGTGGTATAGAGTAATGTTTTATAACAATTCTCAGTTAAAATTGCTAGAATTTGCAATGCAAGTTACCATAACAAATTTATTTACTGTGATATAAACCACTACATTAGTCACAAGAACCGGTTAATAAAGAAGAAAGTAATGTAGTAACTGCTACGTAATGCCTCAGTTTAAAGATACAACTTTATAGTGCTACTACAGAAATTTTGTATGAAGAAAATGGCTAATTATTTTTCATTAATAATAAACATTACCTTTCCTGCCTTACAATGTATAGCTGCAACATTATCAGTATGCAAAGATAACCACTTGTCTAGATCCTCACAAAAGGGTTTGATTAGCTCTAGTCTAGGTGGGTTGTGGTCATCAAACGGGTAATAGGCAACACGGTTATGAAATCTAATTGGATCATAACTCCTCTCCGAACACCTAAAATGAAAAAATTTAAAAGATGCAATTGTGTAAAGTTAGTACAATTATTTAATAATAAAATAATAGTCAGGATATTTTTAGAAAAAATATTTTAAGCGCCTCTTTTATAAATAATTTTTAAAAACTTTTTTCATTTAAAACTATCATAAACTAAAATGATGAGTTGGTCAAATGCATATATGCGGAAAACTGACTTTTACAGCAAATGCAAAAACTATGATTCCTAAACAAGTGATTAATACAGAAGGCAATATATGAACATTGTTGAACACTGTTACCTGAAAGCAACAGTAAAAAAATAATGTTTTAAAAAGTACTTACAAATTATACACTTTGTAGTGATCTTTGTGTTTGGACTCTAAAAACCTGGAGGAAGAGAAGAAACAGCCACAGGCTTAAGAATAGTGAAATAATATTATTTACTACAGCATTCACATAAAAACAGTAGTGTCAATCATTTGCTACTTGGGTGTGTGACTGTGTGGCCAATTAACTTTCTGGTTTCATGGAATAGTTTATTGTTATTGAACCAGCATATTTTACTGCTATCATAGTGATTGAATGAAAGTCCATTAAATTACTTACTTTCACCTCTGAGCGTCTCAAAGTAACAAAATATTATACCTGATGACATCATCCATGTTATTCCTGTAGTACCCTTCAAGTTTCTCTGCAGGGAAACCCATTGCAATGATGTTGGGGGTAATATCTGAATAGCGTTAAGTCAAGCATTCAATATGTTGATTCGTAATTAAGGTTTCATTGTAATATCCAAAACTGAAAATCAACTGTTACAAGATCTTTATGATTACAGTTGTAGAATTTTTATAAAGTAGAATTAAATTCTCTGATGTACCAGCAGAAAATTAAGTTGGTGGAAAAAATAATTTTTGCCGTTTCATGATGCATTTAAATTTTAATAGAAATTTAAAAAAAAGGATACAAGTAAGGTCCAAGTCAAAACCATCTTCTTTGAGGCGCCTTTTATTGCGACTTACTAAGCCTTTTAATCTGTTTGCCATTCTTGTGTAAACTTTAATTAGAAAAACTAACAAAAAAAAAAGATGGGCAAAAATATTATGTTCCTATTGACTGCATAGTGACCCAGCTACACCATGTTTGAAGCAGATCTTGAGCTTTGCTTTAGATGATATCTGAAAAAAAAAAGTTTTTTTTAAAGTTAAACTTTATAATTAAAGTGTAAATATATAATCAAGAATTCAAATAATTTAAAAAAAAGCATTCTACTAAGGTATATTAGGTATTTTTAAAAAGTGGCTTATTTTCTATATCTAAAATTACTCATCTTTAGTTTAGTATTCTTTAATTAGTAGGTCTACTTGTTATTTAGGTCTAACTAGGCCTACTTACTTGATGAACTTTACCTACACTTAATATGAGACTAGCTAGGATTAAGCCCAAACTGTTGGCCTCAGTGCTAACTGTTAGTTCTATTAACACACACATCACTGACTAACTAAATCTAGATCTAGATCTAACTCACACAACTGAAGTTTCTGAGCAGTCCTTAGATCTATATTCTATATCTAGATCTGGGCTCGAGGCCCTAACTACACTCGGCCCTACAGTTATTTTTTTTTTTAAAGTTACAGTCAATATTCAATATTGAGTTAATCACACAGTTTATTAGATGCAGTCACACACTTCACACTAGTTCACACAGTGATATGGTCTAGCTCTAGACTACTCTAGAGATTTTATTTTAAAATTACAATATTAAGTAGTTAAGTAAGTAGAGTAGGCCTAGGTCTAACAATCTAAATTGAAATTCTAAATCTCTGATTTTCTAGATCTCTAGGTCTTAGATCTAGATCTAGAACTAGATCTAGATCTGAGTCAATATAATAATAATAATATATTATTATTATTATTCTTTTATTCTTTTCTTCTAGCTGTTCTAAATTCTAAATCACTAGTTTAAGTCCTGGCCTAGGCATTAACATTAGCACATTAAATTGAACACAAGCTTATAAAATATTTTATTAATACCAGTTTTATTCAACAATTATTGTCAACGTCGAATGTGCTTCTTTCTTTTTTTAATTTTATTGATCATTAATTTTACTTAGGCCTACTTAAAATGCTTTTAACAGAACCAAAGGAAATAGAGGACTAGCTCAGCACGATTATCTTCCTTGAACAATGTAGAATGTAGATAGAACTAGATCTACCACTGAAAATAAGTAGATCTCTACACCCAATGGTGAAAAATAATCGTCTCGTAGACTTAATAATGATTTTATGTTTTAACCTATTCAATATGTGGGTTTTAATTGTAAACTGTGTAAAGTAAAAAAAATCACAAATGTGTTTTTACCTGTAACACAAGAAAGTCTATTTCACGAATCTTTCATTCGAATGAATATGTGCATGTATCAATGCGCATTAGTTGTCATTCCTGCTTATACCACAACACACTTCCGGTAGCCTCCTATGAGGAACTCAAGCCTATATAGGTCACTACTTGGCTGACCTAGTGACCGCATATTACCCCTGCCTTGTTCTGCTTAGGTTTTTTTCATGTCATGATAACCTTTAGCTGAGTAATTTTGAGCAGATATTGACTTTAAAATTAAAAGGAAGAATATTGGTTATATAGCTTTATCTAGATCTATATATTTTGAAAACAGCCACAAGTTGCAAAATATTTTTTAAAAAGCAAGTTTAGTGTGTTTTATATTTTTATAAAGTTAGGCCTACTGTGTAGCATAGCGTGTAGAATGTAGATCTAGAATCTAAGGGTCTAACTAAGCCTACTAGATCTAGATCTAGATCTTAAGAATCTAGATCTATACTTTTATAAATATAAGGATCAGAAAGTAGAAACATTAGAGTTTTAAAGATTTAAACCCTTACCCACTCTATTTACAAGATTTTAAAAATACAATATTAATTAACACATGGAGAATCTAGATCTAGGCATAATTTTTAAAAATAATTTTTGAGAGGACCGAATAATCATGTTTACCAGCGCGATTGAATTTGAAGTAGAAATCTAGATCAAGATCTACACTCTACACATAAGGTGATGCAATACAACAATTTACCAGGTCAAGTGCCAGCTAAACTAAAAAACAGCAACAAATTATGTTTTGTTTAACTAGCACTATTATATTGTGTTTGTTTATTTTATGTGAGTTTTTGACTGCGTAGGCTGGCGTGTGTTCTGAAACCCGACGGGCTAAGAAAATAGCACTGTGTTAAAAAGAAAAAAAAGTGCAACCGCAAACCCGGATTGCTCGTTTATGACCTTAAAAGCCCCCGGCGTGTACTCATGACAATGGACAGGAACCGATTAACCTTAACTAAAGCAAAATAAACATGGTGTATGGCATCCGGCGAAAAAGGGCACAACAACGAAAAGTAGAATTTATAGAACAATTTCGAGCACTGCTTAATATTTTTATTATTTTAGAATTTGTTTTCTTTTCTTTGTTGTCAATAAATTTCAGATGCGGTTAATTTTTACGTAGATCTATATCTAGATCTATTTACATCCGCGGGAGGTTGGACGTTGGGCGCAGGTCTTGAGTTGGAGTGGGGGGGGGGGGGGGGGGGGGGTAATCGCCAAAGCGGTATTAAAAAACAACTAATAAAACTCATTTAAATTAAGCTGTATTGGATGTAGCAACAAATATGTATTGAGCACGCTTAACTGATAATTAATTCCGGGCGTCGGAAAGGTTGGCTACGCCGCTGCTTGTGTATTGTCCACCCCCCCCCCCCCTCCCACCCCTCTTTTCCACAACCATCGGGATCTGGATCTTTTAATTAAACATGACATCAAGCACTTACAACTAAAATAATAAAGTTTAGTTCAGCCATCCACTGAAGATGTGTCAGTTGATAGCGTCTTTGTGAAGTGTGTTGTAGGATACGGGAAAATTACACACGAAAATATTATCCTGGTATTTACCGCACACAATGTCAGGCAATCTCCGGGATAAATAGTTTAAGCGAGTGATGGTGATCCGGAGAGTTTAGCTCAGTGTTTCTTCCAGACTTTTTTCTCCGGGGGGGGGGGGGAAGGGGGGGAGCATTTGATATTTACATATTTACGGGGGGGGGGCCGGACAACACTTTCTGGGGGGGGGGGGGGGGGCGGACATTGATAAAAGTATATGCTTTCTATATAAATTCCATTTCGTTCGAGGGGGCGGCAGACTTAGACTTTCTTCGGGGGGGGGGGGGGGGGGGGGCTCGAAGAAACTGGTTTAGCTGTGCTGTTGTCTCATTTAAAAGTATGCTTATACAAGTTTTAGTAATTCCGAGCGATTTTTTTAAAAATGAGATTTTAAAAAAAACTTTAGTTTAGGTATACTAAATTATTTACTGCTTTTAAACAATCATGAAAAAGACTGAATTATTAAAGTGCTTCTGGTTTAATTACGCTTATAAATTATCCCTAGTAATTTAAAATGTAACGCTTCGGATGAAATTAATTTTCAAAAAATTTATTACCTGGTTGTATTTGTTTATTTATTTTATCCTACTACGAATTTTTTTTAGTGCTCATGTTCTGAATCTTTTCTCCAGCACATAATTTTTTTTCGGTGAATTCAACTCTGGATAGACATCTCAGCATCAGAGAGCCCTTTCTTCCAACAAGATTCGCGAGACACAATGGGGCGTGTGTTTCTCGTAGTGGGGAAGACTTTTTTTTTTTCTGTAGGAGTTGCAGGGGGAAGCACATGAAAACATACGCTGCTCGTAACTCGTAAGTGCTAGATATAGATCTAGTAGAAAACCCGAAACGTTTCAGCGCATTCAAACTGATTAGTACTACAGAATACATTTAAATGAGACGGAGGCGAATAATTAACATACATTTCTAATGAACCCAGTGATTATTTTAAAAAAATAAACCGTGTCACCCACCCAACTGCCAGGAATCTGTAAAAATAGTATTTCCCGTTATAAAAAGTGTACGGGTGTAAACCACTAAGTTGCCCGGGACAGGGTACCAAATATGTTGCCGGGAAAGGGTTATATAGGCCCTTTTTGCCTACAGGGTCGTCCACAAACGATGTCCTGCTATTTTAACGTTTTCACTCACCCCCTTTTTTACACATCGACACACCTACCTCGCAGGGGTGAGGGGGCGTAATTTTGTGACGGTGTGTGATGAGTTGGAAGGGGGGGGGGGGTTGTTCAGATGGTGTGACTTCACACTTTTGCATTATAAAAAAGCAATGTTAGAACATTCTTTTATAACTGCGAATAACGGCTACAATTAGTTACTAACATTTTTTAAGGCTAAAGTTGGACGCCACACTTTCTGCCCCCTCCTCCCCAATTCCTTCTTCTCGTCACAAAAGCTCGACTTGTCCCCCTCTAGTGTGACGTCGTTTATGGACGACCCCTGTACCACTTTGCTTTTGCTAAAGGCGTACCTGAACTGTGATTTGTATACTAGGTCTATATGCAGTGGCGTAGCGAGGTCGGGTGTCACCCGGCGCGGCACTTAATGGTGTCACCACCAGAGGCTTAGCGACCCTTCCCGGGGACAAACTTTCGATTTACACCCCCCCCCCTCAAGTTGTTCTCTATATATTTTGCTATTTTTTGCCTTGGTGTCACCCCCCCCCCTAAATGGTGTCACCCGGTGCGGTCCGCACCCCCCGCCTCTGTCTATATGTGCTTGTGGTTGAGTGTGTGGTTAAGCCGCTGAATGGTCCTTTTTTTTCGACGTTAATATAAAAAAAAATTGTTTCTCCACTTTTCAAAACATCAAACGTTTCCAATCTATTAAGAATATATATAAAAAAAATCATTAGTTATCACTGAATACTGCGCACTAAAATAAAATAAAAACTAAACAAAAGTAAGCGTGGAATTTTATTTCAAGATATACGATAATCATACGACCGTATCAGGGCTTTAAAGTTGAACATGTAGGGGGGGGGGGTGAAGGGTGGTCGCGTGCGGACCATACACCCAACACACTAAATTACCAAATAGCTTCACCAAAAAAAAAAACAAAAAAAAAAACAGTCCATTAGAGGACCAGAGTTGACATAGTTCACTGGGCTCCTGGAGGCAGAGGATGAAATCATCAACAGTACAACGGGTCACCTGGATGTAGGCCTTAATTTTCATTTCGTGTTGAGTATTACGACAGCGATGATTTACCTCCCCACCCCCTACCCCATTACCTTGGAGCCAGGAACATTCATGCCCGTGGCGTCAACAATTCACCCCCTCACCCCTTTTTTCCCCCACTTACCTCTAATTATATAACCTGGTGGTGACACTAATAAACGCACGTTCTAATTTTGGTAGTCGGCCTTGCTATGCTAGGTTGGTACATTATATAGCACGGGTGACATTCATAATATTTTACCGTTGAACTGGGCCTTTAGTGAAAGCCATTTGGCTATGTTATACTACGGGGGTAAGTGGTAGCATACACTCCGTAGGGTACTTTATGCTACTGTGGTAAGAGGTGACCTACAGTAAGTTCAACAAGCCGAAGTAGTTGGCGACCTATACAGTACATTGGGTACATTATGCTACTGGGATAAGCGGTGGTATACGTAACATATGGTGCTAACTTATTCTAACCTATTGAAGTTAGTGGTGACCTACGCCATAGGGTACTTTATGCTGCTGTGGTAAGCGGTGACCTACAGTACATAGGGTACTTTATGCTGCTGTGGTAAGCGGTGACCTACAGTACATAGGGTACTTTATGCTGCTGTGGTAAGCGGTGAACTACAGTAAGTTCAACTAGCCAGTTGAAGTAAGTGATGACCTACAGTACATTGGGTACCTTATGCTACTGTGGTAGGCGGTGATATAGAATACAAATGTACGCTATACTAACATATACTAGCCTATTGAAGTAAGAGTGACCTACTCTATATGTTACACTATGCTAATGTGGTAAGCAGTGACCTACAGTACATATGGTACGCTATGCTACTGGAGCAAGTGGTGACCTACTTGCTATACGAAAATAATTCAAACAAAATCAAATGAGGGCTACGTTACATTAAGTAGGAGCTCGGAACAACAACAAAAAACTATTCATCAGCACTGCACTAAAAATAGTAGCTTATAAAAGCGCGATCAAACATGCAGGATAATCAAGTTGTTGAGAAGTTACAGTCTAGATGCGAGTGATGCTAGGTGTTTGATGAAACTATACCGTATCCTATATCCAAAAGATCAACACGAGGACTAAGGGGTAGATCAAATTATTCGTGTGTAGAAGGCGCCAAGGAGGGGTGGGGTAGGATCTTAAAGATAACATCTAAACCCGTCGAGCCAAGTTTTTGTCTGCAATCAAAAGAATGGGGGAGGGGGGTGGGTGGGGGAGGGGGGTAGAAATAGGTGTACCAGTATTTGAAGCTATTGCGCCAGGAGAAAAAAAATTGGAACGACATCAGTTTGAATTTTCATGAATATTATTACTATAAGGTTTAGGTTATAAAGGTTGGTAAACACGGTTACATGCCATTACATAGTACTTATATTTGAAGTGCTTTCGGTGATA